CTGTTTTTAAAAAAAAAAAAAAAAAAAAAAAAAAAAAGAATAATAAGTCTTGCTGGCAGAGGCAGGCACCCAAATTCTAGGGCAGCTGAGGTACAGGGAGACCCTGTCTTTTGTCAGCAGCACAAGGCTGGCAGGCAAAACCTAGAGACAGTGCACTGGGCAAGGTGCCCTGTGCCACAAACAGGTCCCTCTACCTCCTGGGATCTCTATTCCCTCATTTCTCAAGTGGGGTGCTCAGAGTTCTTGCCTGGGAGAGGCTGCTGCTAGTGCCTGACACCCAGCAGCTTCACCAGCTCCAACAACAGGAAGAACTAGAGGAACCATGGCACCTGATGTGGCTGGAGGTTTGGAAATCCGCTCTGCTGGGGGGCCCACATTTGGCATTCCTGGGCAATTAGGCACTTACTTTGTGGTAATTTGTAGCTCTTTTATAGGCTTCTTTGTAGTTATGCAGGAAGCATTCCACATAGCTGGTGCCCAGGCAGTGTTGACTGCTCATCTGTCAGAGTCTAGGACAAAGCACCCACCTGCCCTAGGGCTCCTTAGCCTTGCTCTGTTTGGAAAGGCCAATTCCTGTGCTTACCCTGGAGACCAAAGGCAAGCAGGGACTGTGGCTCTGTGTCAGGGAGCTTGCCCGGAAGCCCCTCCCACCTAGGAAGCCAGGTTTCCATTCTGGGGCTCCAGCTCTGTTGCTAGGGAAATGGTTCCTGGCCTCTGGAAGAATCTGGTCTGCAAGTGGAAGGTGGGGGATTAGTCTTCCCCTAAAGCCAGAGGTTTATCTCTGCCAGGGGTGGGGTTGGGAGGGGCTGTTCCCTTGTGGTCAAAGCAGCTGCTGCCTACCCTGGCCAGGTGGGATCTTTACAGTTACCTTCTTCAGGGGAAGCCCCAACAGGTGGCTGGCTAGAATCTCAAATTCTCTAGCACCAACCAGTGCTGCTGTGTTCAAGGCCTCATGCACCACACTGGGGGCCAATGTGCAAGCAGTCCCAGCCAATTCACAGTTCTACACTGTTCTCCAGACAGGCTTCAAGACTCACCCAACTTTTTTTTTTTTTTGACAAGGTCTTCCTAGTCCCAGCCCACCTGGAAGTGACGGTGTGGCTGGCAGAGATCCACCTGCCTCTGCCTCCTGAGGGCTGAAAGACTCCAGCCACCATGCCTGGCACACACCCAGCTTTTGTTCAGGGAAACGCTCAATTTTCTCTCAGTCTTCAGCTCACTTCTCTTCCTCAGGCCAACAACCTGGCCAGGTGACAAAGCCTACTTGGTGGACAAGGTGAAGGTGGTGAGATGGAAATGTTCTCATGCTCAGGGAAGGAGATGACTTTGCAGAGGCTACTTTCCTGCCCAGTGTTGGTCCATGCTCTGCAGAACAGCGTCAGCTATGGTCAAGCCCTGGCCACCTTGCCATGGATGGGTAGGGGCGCCTAGAAGCCACTTTCCCCGCTCATCGCCTTGACACTGAGCTTTTGGGATGCCAGAGAGTGCTAGAGGCATCTCTGGTGGACAGATCCTTGGAACTGGCCAAGGCCAGCTGCACACCTGACATCCAACCCTCCATGAGCCCAGGACACACACAGGGGAAACATGAACATGTGCCCAGGACGTGGACGTTTCGGTAGAGCAAACCCCCGCCCCCAGCATTCCTGTTCTAGAGCTGGGCACTACTTCCAGTACCTTGGCCCAAGTCCCACTTAAGGCTTGTACCTAGTGCTGTGCCACACAGAAGACACTGGATGGAGCTCAGTTGTCCTAGGGAGCTCTCAGTCTATGGAAACCAGTGTGCCCATCTGTCCCTAAGGAGCCGGAGAGACTATCCCAGAGAGAGCCAGGTTTCCCTAAGGGTCCAGGGGCCAGCCTCACAAAGAGGTTCATCTCTGTCCTTCCAAGTGTGACCTCATCTAATAGGATGAGTCAAGGTGGAACATCCTGGGCTTCAACAACAGCAGCAGTACCAAATTGCAACTCAGCTCTGCCTGGGCCAGACAGGCCTCCAGCTCACCTGCCCCAGTCTCACAGCAATGCCCTCACAACAACAGACCCCAAATCTTGATGCCCCAGGGGTCAGAGCTGGCCCATAGAGCTGGCCTGGGAGTGATGTACTACGTTACCAGTCCACCAAGCACCATGTAAGGCTTCCAGAGATGAAAGACAAGCAAAATGCTATACTAGGACCTGGACACAAGAGCAGCAATTCACATGGTCACTGGCAACAGATGCTGGCGGAGAGTGGCCAGCTGACACATATGGCACAAGCTATCGTCCTAAGAACAGGTGCACTCGGCGGCAGGGCAGGAAGAAGGCAGGGGTCACAGGAAAGTCCACTCAGGCGGAACGGGCAGTGAGTGGTGAGGTGAGGTTGGACACAGGAAGGACTGCTAGAGGGGCTCTGAATGCTAAGACAGGTTCTGCTATGCAACTGAGACACCATATCCTCTTCATCTCTAAACACCAGAAATACAATCCCAATAAACACCAACAGATCCCAGTGGCTGCCCAAGCAGGTCTGTGATGGGTGTAGGGATGTGCTCACAAGGGGTCAATCCTGAACACTTGGTGCAAAGGGACAAGACACACCTGAGCAGCAGCAGAGGTGGGGTGACACAGAAGTGGGATTTGGGGCCTCTGCAGGACTGTGCTGTCTGTAGGTGCAGATGGGCAGCATGGCTGGCAGCAGTATGGGTGTGAGGCAGGGCTCTGCCACTTACAACTGGGTGAGTGGGGCAGGCCTCCAGGCCTTGTTTCTCCAGCTGTAAAATGGAAAGCACGCACTGCCTCTGGGGCTGCCTAATTGCTGCATACAGGTGCTCAGTCACCTGCATAGGAATGGCAGCTGCTCCTACCATTCACAGTAACTGCCACTAGAATCTGAGGCAGGTTGACCCTGATCTGGGCTCCGAAGGACTTCATAGAAGCAACCGCCTCCCTTGGCACTTTGGTCAATTAAAAAACCTCAGAGGGGCTGACCTGAACAGAGCCAAGGGGACATTCTCTCCACATGGCTCCTGCTAAGCTTGCCATCACCCACTCTATCAAGGCACTATCCTAAACAATCCCTTGTAGGCCCTTCTCTGGGTCCTTCAACCTCCACTCACCACTCAAAGCCAGTGATTCCACACTGCCATAGCGCTCTCCCCTAGGAAAGGGAAGGCTGCAGACTTGCTAGGCTAATCTTGCTTCCAGATCCTGACACTGGCCAATTTACCACCTCCAGATGAAACCCAGTGCTCAGGAGGCCAAATTAGAGCCCTGGGAAGAAACGATCTTTTTCTGTGACCATCAACAGCAATGGAATCCACTCCCTTGACCCTCTGGTGTCACAGGGGCAGGCGGGCGGGGGGCATGGCCTTCTGGGCACTCCCATGACTCCCATTGCAAGAATATGCCCTGCCACCTCACCAAGGCCTCAGATTCCTGTCTCTAATAGAGGGAAGACCCCTTGCTGCCAGGGCACAGGGACTGGGGCCTGGTCTCCTCCACATTCAACACAAATGAGTGCAGGTGCTGTCCTCTCGCTACATGTCCCATCCTGGGCAGGAAGAGGGGCAGTGGCACCCAAGAGGATCCTGGGCTCTGGACAAGCTCTCCTTGGAATGTAAGCCACCTGCCTAGGTGTCCTTGTGTATAAAAGGACCAGTTTGGATCAGCTGGTCTCGCAGGGCCCCTTGGCTTCCAAAAACTGGGTGGGAACAAGGCATAGAGGCTTAGGTTGGAAGTGAGGCACTCTCGGAAGTCCTCCTGGGAGATGAACCCCTCCTCCAGACAAGGCTGACATCCCTTTCCTAGGAGGCTACTGTGACTCACCCATCCCCCAACTCCCCTAGAGGAAGAAGCAGGGTTAAGGACCGAGACTCATCGAGACTCATCAGCCAAGCTGCCCAAGTTCAGGCCACAGCTCCTTGCTGCTGAGTACCACAGGCAAGTCCTTTTTCTCTTCTCTTAACCTAAAATCTTGAGCTTTGAATATCCCTGGCTGTCCCTAAGATGTTCCCACAAACTCCTATTTGCTCCTGTCCCTGAAGAAGGGGAAAACAGCTGGCTATTTCTTACACCCTGCTTATGAGGCCATACCATTTCTGTGCTTGACCACGGAGGCAGACAGCTAAGGCCATCTTTGAATGCCTGGGTCTGCGCGATCTCTAAGCCATAGCAGGGCGGAGCATGGCTCCAATGGGCCCATCCTAGACAGCTTCCAAGGAGCTCTGCATTGCCCACCTTTGGGAGGCCCAGCACCCTCGGGGTGAGGAGTGCACGCTCCAGCCTCCGGCTGCTGCAGTGCTCACTTGCGTCTCCCTAATTATTGAGCTCCCGGTCTCTGGGCTTCTCCAGGGGAAGCTTCTGAAAGGTGCCCACGTGCGGCGTGCACTGCCATCGCGTGCGGAGCACCGAGTGCCAGCTCCCATCACCCTATCCTTCCGGCTGCAGAGGCCCTAGAGGGCAGCCAGCAGGGACAGCGGGCCTCGGTGGGAAGCGGAAGCTGGCAGCCCCCTCCCCCAGCCACGCTCGGAGGCCGCTCCTGCCTTCCCAGCTTGGGGTTTGGGAGGAGGGGAGGGCGAGGGTGGAGGCGCGGAGCGGAGGACTCCGCCGCGCGGGAACGGCGGGGGGGCGGCGGCCGGGGCCGCGGGCAGGCGGGCCGCACACTCACCTCCGTGCGATCCGGTAGAGCAGCACGCCGGCCGCGGCGCACGCCGTGATCCCCAGGCCGCCCGCCAAGCTGGCGGTGGGGTAGCTGGCCAGGAGCGCGCTCACTCCCTCCATGACTCGGGACTGGGGGCTCCAGGCTGGGGGCGCAGAGCGCCGGGCCGCAAGCGGGACTCCGGGCGGCCGCGCGCGCCTGCTCGCGCCGTGACCTTCGCCGCTTTGTAGCCGGCGCGGGCCCGGCCCATCGACTCGACGCGCTCCCGTCGCGCACCCAATCACAGCGCGGGGCGAGCCCGGTGGGCGGGGCTCCGGCCTGGAAGCGCCCTCCAGCGGCCGAAGATGGAAAGCCTCGAAACTAGAGGCCGGAGGGTCCTCCCCCGGTCCGCGCCCGCTGCCTGCGCATGCGCGCGCCGTGCGGCTCGCTGACCTGCGGGGTCAGTCCCGGGGTGGCTGCGGTGGGGGAGCACCTCGGGTGTACGCGGAGGCGTTCCAGCCGTTCTTTCTTCCCGGTAGTCCTTCGTAGCGCCGGGCCGAGCTGGGCAGATCCTGAAGCCACTATGGTTAAAAATTAGCCTGTACTAGCACAGCCGTCCGGAGATGGGAACGAGGTTACACAGTCATAGGATAGCCATGTTTCACAATGTGTTAGAGCTGAATGCGGCCATTAGAATGGTTGAGCTGGAGGTATTGGCCCTGGAGGGATGATACATTTTTTTCTAAAGAAGTCGCATGTAGGTGATTTTCATAATATGCCAAGTTTGATAAAACTTATGCACTGCAAATCAATTACCTCACGGGGAGAGTGCATCAATTTGTAGAAGTGTTTCAGTATTGACGTGCGTTAAATGACTGGTTAAGAAAAGCTTGGGCTGGGCGTTCTTGTAACAAGCACGCCTTTAACCCCAGCACTCAGGAAGGTAGAGGCAGGCAGGATCTCTTGAGTTCCAGGCCAGCCAGGAATACATAGTGAATCTCTTGTCTCAAAAAAGGAGAGAGAAAAAAAAGCAAATATTTGTACTTAACTATGCAGTGTTTCTGTGCCCCCCCCACCGCAGTTTTATCAGTGTTAAGATCAAGCTTTCTGTGGGGGATGGTGGGTTGAGGGCCATTGTTACCTCTTGCTTTCTATTGCCAGTTAATTCATCCACATCCTGGTCCCTAGGCAGGAATGAGAAACCAGGGTAAGTGAAGCAGGTGTGAAGGGGGTGTTTGGGTCTTGGGTGGCTTCCTTGCAGCCTTCGAGCCCTGAGCATACCTAGGGTGTACTGTCCCACAAAACACATGGCACCATATTTAAGCGTCATTCCCTTCCCCTGAGGATTCAGTGTTTGAGTCCCAGAGGACAGCTTCTACTCCCACATCTAAGAACTGTTGTGAGCATTCCTCAAAAGCTTAGGTGTTCTTTAAATTTTTTTCTTATTTTATGCATATGAGTGTTTTGCCTGCATGTATGTATGTGTACTACAGGCATGGAATACCCATGGAGACCAGAAGAGGGCGTTGGATATCCTGGAACTGGAGTTAATGGGTGGTTGTTAGCTACCATGTGGGTGCTGGGAACTAAGCCTGGGTTCTGAACAGCCACTGCTCTTAACCCCTCAGCTATCTCTAGCCCCAAGCTTAGGTACTCCTTGATCACTGGCATCACCTGAGGCTTCCTAAGCCTTAGGGAAAAGGAATGAAATATCTGTCAGACCTAGGCTTGGACTCAGAACTTTGCTGGCACAGATTAGACCTGTAATGCCCTCTGAAGGCCCATGGGTTAAAGTCTTGGTCTTTAGCTGGCAGAGTTATTAGAAGGTGGAGGAAACTGTTGAGGCTTAGTGGGTAGCCACTGGAGGTGTGTCCTTGCAAGGGGACTGTGGACTTGAGTCCCTTCCTTGCCTGCTTCTAAGCTGTTAGTTTTGCTAGGCCATGTGTTCCTGCTATAATGTGCTGCCTCCCTACAGGCCCCAAGGCAATGGGCCAACCAATGGTGGACTAGACCTCTGAAACAGTGAGCTAAAATGGAAAGCTCTTTACCTTTTGACTAGCCCAGGCACTAGCTAACACTGGAGTCAGAATACCCACCATGTTTTCTAAGGCCCTTTGGGCGTCTTTGATTTATTCATTCAACAGGACACAAATTGCCATGGATCAGTTTCCCACTTGCTATCTGCATCATCTCAAGCAAGCCATGTGTAGTCAGAGCCTCTCACTTGTCAACAAGTATGGATAGTACCATCTACCTTACAAGGATGCCAGGATTAACTTTGATGAGAAAATGCCTGAACCTCAGTCCAGGGCTTGGCAGTTACCAGTACACAATGATAGTTTGTATTGGTTACTTTTCTGTTGTTGTGATAAAATACCACGATCCAAAATGACTTATGAAGAGTTCCTTTTGGCTTTGGGTTCCAGAAGGACAGTCCATAATGGTGGAGGAGGCCAGGTAGCAGGCAAGCCAGATCAGGAAGCTGGCTATCATAGCCTTATCCACCACACACAGGAAGAGGACGGCATGAACTGGAAGTGGGGTGAGGCTATAAATTGAAACACCCTGAGTGACATACTTCCTCCAGCAAGGCTGCACCTCCCCATGACTGCTTCAAACAGTCACCAACTAGCAACCAAGTGTTCAGATACCTGAGTGGATGGGGGGCATGCTCATCCAAACCACCACAGGGTTGTTAAAGCCAGAAATGTGTACGTGAGTGCACATAAATGTATGTGTAAGACTATTTAAAAATGGAATCCGAAAGAGTAAGCTTGTGAAGGAGAAAGGAGTAAATGATAGAATTTGCCCACGCAGGGCTCTGGCAGTGGTCTTGACCAGTTTAAATCCCAGTCTCTTTCCTGAGAGAGTATCTCTTTTTTTCCTCTTTGTTCCCTTCCCACTTTGGTGCTCAAGTCTCTGTCATTTCAATGCCCTGGTGCTGACGAAGCAGAAACTAAATTATACTAGCTCAATATCAGATTATCCACAAGTAAAAAATAAATTCACAACTGTAATCCTAGCATCTGGAAGGTGGAAACAGGAGGATCAGAGGTCAAGGCCATCCTCAGTTATGTGAGTCTCAGGCCAGACTGGAATACCTGTGAACCTGTCTCAAAGCAAAACAAAACAAGCAATCTAACCATCAGTCTTTATGATAGGTACAATATTGAATTAAAATTGAATATTAAAAACAGGAGGCTATTGCTTAGTGCCATTATCAAACAGCTGTGGGCTTCAGGAATGGGAACCACTCCCCTGTCATACACTTCACAAGTACTAGAATGACTAGGGTCACTCATTTTATTTTCTAAACACTTTTTTCCTTTCCCTTCCCATTTCCTTCCTCCTGCCTGCCTTCTTTCTGGCACAGGTTTTTACTATGTAACTCTGGCAAGTCTGGAACTCCTTATGTAGATTAGACTGGCCTTGAACTTACGATACTCTTCCTGCCTTAGCCTCTTAAGTGCTGGAATTACAAGCTCACCACGCTCTTTTTGTTCCCCTATTAAAGTCCATTAAAAATGAGGAAGCAGGCTGGGGATGTAGCTCAGCTGGTAAGAATGCTTGCCTAGCATGTACAAAACCCTGGGCTGGATCTCCAGCACCCCATAAACTGAGTGTGGTAGTAACTGTAATTCCAGCACTCTGGAAGACAGAAGGACCCAGACGTTCAAGGTAATCCTTACATAAGGAGTTCCAGGCTAGCCTGGGCTACATGATTATTTATTTAAATAAATTATTCATTTGTCTCATGTAACACAGGCTGACCTCATATTTGCTATGTAGACCCGGTTGGCCTTGAACTCACAGAGATCTGCCTGCCTCTGCCTGCTGGGATCAAAGGTATGTTCTGCCACGCCCCTGTTGAGCTGCTCATCTTCCTGATGCCACCTCTCCAGGGTGGGGATTGCAGGTGTGTGCCACCGCACCTAGCTAAAATTCTAGCAATGAAAACAAAACCCCTTTTTAGTTTAAAGGCATGATGCCACACACCTTTGATCCCAGCACTTGGGAGGCAGAGGCAGGTAGTTCTTGGTGAGTTCTGGGCCAGCTGATGCTACATAGTGAGACCCTGTTTCAAAAAACAAAAAGTCCACCTTTAAAAAAAGGGGTATCTAAATAACAGCAGCATCTCCTGTCAGAATACAAGTCCTCCCCAGGGATGGGCCATCACTCCTGAGTGGCATTGTATTTCTCAGGAGCCAAGACCCAAGATCAGGGGAGAGTCCACAGAACGGATGCTATTGCATATCACACACAGTACTTGCAGCAACCTAAGGTTGTGGCATCACACACTCAAGAGTATGCCTGGACTTAACAGGGCTTCCCTTCTGGAAATACAGCCAAGAGGTAGCAACAGACTGAAGGATAACCTCAGGGTCTATATGTCTATATATACTACATTGCAAAGTATTTACTGTCAGGCCGGCCGGTGCTCATCTGATTTCCCAGCACTTGGGTGGCTGAAGCAGGAGGATTAGAGTTTGAGGTCAGCCTGGACTAAAGAAGCAAGACCCTGTCAGAGAAAGAGGAGGGGCGCTGGAGAGGTGGCTCAGCAGTTAAGAGTACCGACTGCTCTTGAAGAGAACCCAGGTTTGGGTCCCAGCACCCACATGGTGGCAAACAACCAGCCATAACTCCAGTTCCAGAGGATCTGACTCCCTCATCTGACCTCTGCAGGCATTGCATGACATGGTGCACTTCATACATGACATGGTGTACTTCATACATGCAGGCAGTATGCTCGTACACATAAAATGAAAATATTTTTTTAAAGGGTAAGAAAGTTACAGTCTTTCCTTTTTAGAGCCCAGAAGCTTAGATTATTGATCAATCTTTATGGGGAGCTGGAAATGCACATAAGAGAGAAGCAGAGGAAGAAGACTACCCACAGGGTCACCAGGGAGTGACTTCCTTCTCTCTCCCTAGCCATCAGTGTGACCTTCATTACAAGCAAGTTAGAGAACAAGGTTGGTTTTCACTTCTCTTTCTCCAAATTTCCAGGGCGCACTTCACCGAAATGCTAAAGCCCTTGGCTGGTTCACAGTACTGAGCACATAAGAGAACACAAAACCCACGTACACTTAAATACATGATTTAATTTACTGCTGCTTAATCCTCAATCCTCTTTTAACTTAAAAAAAAAGTTATAATTATAACTATTAACGTTAATGAATTTAAACCTTCCAGAAAGCATGAATCCAAAAGGAAATGTCCAACAGGTGACACAAGCCGGATATTCTACGGCCTTTCCCGTTCAGTTTCGAGTACTAAATATCAATGGAAAAGAAAATCTCTAGGGATTTCAGTTTTATTCTTCTAGAGCACAACTGTGTGGCCCGTTACTGAGCATGGTCTCCCAGCAGGTACACGATGAACTCGTAGGTGGACAGCACAATGGCAGTATTGGGAATCTGCCGGATGAGCTGGGCCAACAGTCCTCGGTAGAAAGCAAGATAGCCTTCCTCCCGGAATACCAGGCGTGCCGTCTGCACGAAGGACTTGTACTTGGTGCCCTCCTCTCGAAGCCTGGTCCTGATGACTTCTGCAGGGAGAAACACTTGTTTTACGGTGAAGAATCCGAGTGGGGAAGAAGTCAAGGCTCCTCTGTGACTACTGGGCATCTTGATTCTACTGGACAGAGCAGCCAATGAAAAGACCAGTTCTTTTAGACTGTGTTCTACTTCCAACTTTCTCCTCAAAACTTCCCCATTCTGCCTAGTGGAAAAACCAGCTTCCTCCTTCAAGTCTCTGCCCACCTGGTCCCCCCCCAGACCACGGCCACTCTTGCCTGTGGTGCAGACCTTAGAGCCTGGGAGGCAGGCACTGCTGACCTCTTTGCTGTTAGCCTTTGGGACTTGCTTAGCAATGCCCCAGCACATGACGGGACTTAATACCAGTTATTTGACCTACTGGGTGCATTTGTCACTGCTGTGCAAGAGGCTTTTGAAAACACAACCCATTTGCTTGTTTTTTTGTTTTGAGACTATGCAACCCCGGCTGGCCTGCAACTCGATATACAGATCGAATTGGCCTCAAACTCAGAGAGATCTGCCTGCTTCTGAGTGCTGGGATTTCAGGGGTGTGCTACCACATCCAGTCTAATAAACTGTTTTTATTTTATTTTAATTTTATGTGTACGAGTGCTTTGCTTGCATGTATTTATACCATGTGTGTACAATGCCTGCAGAAGCCAGAAGAGGGTGTTGGATCCCCTGGAACTGGAGTTACAGTTTTTTTGTTGCCATGTGGGTACTGGGAACTGAATCCAGTTCATCTGCAAGAAGAGCAGCCAGTGTTCTTAACTGTTGGGTCATCTCTCCAGCCCCAAATAAACTATTTTCTTTTTTTAAAGTAGGTTAGTGGGGCTGTAGTTGTTTAATTCTTTCAGTTTGGCTAAGGGTGCAGCTTAATGGTAGAGCATGTGTATAATATGTATAAAGCTCTGGATTGGATCCCTACTATCAAAAAAGGAAAAGTGCTTAAAAAAAAGCACTCAAAGTAGATTTATCAGCACCCTAGTCCAAGTGGAAGCTGAGTGATTTTCTTTTGGCTCCCACATAAATTTTTTTGAATCAAAAAATTTTAATAGCCAGACAGGGCATGGTGGCACACACCTTTAAACCCAGCACTCAGGAGGCAGAGACAGGCAGATCTCTGTGAGTTGAAAGCCAGCTGGGGCTACAGGGAGACTTTATCTCAAAAAAAAAGAAAAAACAAAACAAAACAAAACGAACTTTAAGTAATATCCACACTGAGAGGGAGCAGAGCAAGGCAGAATTCCATCACTCACATGACCTGTGAATCTGCAGTCAATGTCAGTGCCAGTCTGCTCCTTCACCTGCAAGGGCAGAGGGAGCATCTCCGTTTCCCAAACATGACATGCTTAACCCGGGAAGCTAAGTACACACTCCCCACTGAGACACAGCTGGTCACAAGCGTTCTGGGTAAGGGAGACTCAATCTCTATTTGCATCAGTCTGTGCTGCAGGATGCTGTAGTCTACATACGGTGACACACAACAAACCTGACAACTCTTTCACTGCTCCAGGAGAAAAGAGCAAAACCTACCGTGTGGATAAGCAATGCAGGAAGCACATCCTTTAGAAACAGCAGCAGCTGCCATGAGTCCAAAAAAACCTGAGGAATTCTTCTCAGTTCCATTTGTGGAAGAGACTAATGGAGCTTCTTTCAGACACTTCTTTAAACTTTCATAAATAGCAAAACAGATGATCGTCTCTGAGATCCCAGCATATGAGGCAGTCAGCCCTCTATAGAAGCCTCGGATGCCTTCCGACTGGTACACGTGTCGAGCACACTGGAGCGTATTCATCTGCTTGCAGCCTCTCACCCTGTCAGAAGGGATCAATGAGAGGCCGCTGAGACACACCACACCCTAGTCACAAGGGGGCTCTCCCAAGATACAGACATGATGTGGGAGGAGAAACCTGTCCTTCTTGTTCTGAGGCCCGCTGACCCCTGGCTCACTGTGAAGCCAGCTTAATTAGTTGGGACACCTGACCGGCCCACAGAATAGTCTGAGTTTAAACTGATAGCCATGGAAGCAGGCTTCTATGTGACCCAATTCTAGCAAGTGCTGACAGAGGAAACAGTCAGAACTGTGCATTTCCCTAGATAAGTAAACTGTGGTACATATACAAGACCAAGATAGTTACTATGGTAGCAAGAGGCGGGAGAGCTCAGTAGAAAGCATGGGGCTGGGATATAGCTCAGTTGGTAGAGTGCTTGCCTAGCATGCTTGAGGCCCTGAGTTCAAATCATAGCATTATATAAACTGAGTGTGGTGGCTCATGCCTGTAATCCTAGTCCTGGGGAGGTTGAGGCAGGAGGGTCATAACTAGTTGGAAGGGGGCCTAGGCTATAAAGGGAAACCCTATCTCAAAACACAAAAACAAAAACTTCCTTCACTTCCATAACAACCAGGGATATCTTTGATAATTAAAGGCAAAAAATAAACAAATTAAAAAAAGTAAAATAATCATGACACAAATACTGAGGGAAAATTTACCAAAACACTGAAAAGTTGGGAAGTCTTTCTTTAGAGCTGGGGATTAAATTGAGGGCTTGACCACTGAGCAGACTGCCCAGCACAAGGCCTTCCTCCTTAGCCTTTCCTCTTGACAGTGTGGTGGTGCTATGGGAAGAATCCAGGGCCTCATACATGGATAGTGCATTTTATTCTATTATTTCTAAACTTAGCTCAGAGCCCCTGCTTAATCTTTCCACACAGATGACAATCCAGAGCAATCGATGCCTCTTTTACTATTGTTCTCTTTGACCTCACTTTGTAAGGAAAGAAAGCTTGATATGACAAATCTACTTTTTGTTTCTTTTTCTCTATAAACCAATGTCCTCTGCTTGAGAGCACTGAATACTCATTCTATTTTACAGAATAAGGTGTAAAAATCACAAAATTAAAAAAACCAACAGCCAGGAATGGTGGGTGGTTCACCCCTGTGTTCTCAGTATTTGGGAGGCTGAGGTGGGAGGACTGATTTGACTTTGAGGCTAGCTTGCGTTACAGAGTGAGACCCTGCCTCAAAAGCAAAGAGGGTGGGGCATGGTGGCATGTGTCTTTAATCCCAGCACTTGGAAGGCAGAGGCAGGTAGGTCTCTTATGAGATCAAGGCCAACTTGGTCCACATAGTGAGTTCCAGGCCAGCTGGGACTACTGGAAGCTGGTGGGTACACTTATCTGTGGCTACAGGGAAGTGACAATAGGACACTGTGAACACTTGGCATTGGGGTGATACCAAAGACTGCCAGGAGACATGGCTGGCCAGAAACCTGAAGGACAAGCATAACCACGCAGGGCAATGGCATTCCTGGTAGGACCGCACATTCTACAAGGCGGACACACAAGGCACACATGACATTTTGGGAAACTGAAAAGGCCTGCTTGAATGGTTGGCTCAGGAGTTAGGGTTATACCCTGAGAGTAACTGACACTTGTCACAGGATTCTGGCAAGTACTTCAGAAGGCAGAAGGAACTGGGGAAACCTGGGGTCATAGATCAGAGGCTGTGTGGCCATGAGAGGACAATGACTGTGGGCAGATGGGCCTCCTAGAGTTTCCAGGCCATGTTTCTAGGGCACAGTAGCAGAGGCTCTTAGATTCCAGGCAGTTCCTTGAACTTAGACTGAGAGAAAAATTACATTTTAAGCTGGGCGTGGTGGTGCATGCCACTCGAGAGGCAGAGGCAGGCAGATCTCTGAGATTGAGGCCAGCCTGGGCTACACAGCCATTTCCAGGCGAGCTGGAGCTACAGGGATGCCCTGTCTCAAAAACAAAAACCAAACAAACAAGATTACATTTTAGCCCTCATTGCTAATAGAAACCTGCATTCCTTCTGTGAGCAGGAATATGGGTAATAGGCCATAGCAGGGGCAGCTGTGTTTCACACAAATATTAATGTTTCCTTATCACAGTCACAAGTTTAAAAAGCTAGCATCCTTGCCAGGCGTGGGGACACACACCTGTAGTCCCAGCACTTGGGAGGCAGAGGCAGGTGGATCTCCATGAGTTCAAGGCCAGCCTGGTCTACAAAGTAAGTGCCAGGACAGCTGGGGCTACAGGGAGACCCTGTCTCAAAAAGACTGAAAATAAATAAATAAATAAATAAATAAAATAAAACAATGTTAACAACTGTATTTCAAAAATTGGTTTTCATTTCTTTAAAAATTTTTATTCCAGCCAAGAGCAGTGGTACATACCTGTAACCCTAGCACTGGGAGGCTGAGGTAGCAGACTGCAAGTTTGAAGCCAGCTCAGGCCATACAACAAGACTTTATCTTCAAAAAAAATCAAAGCCAAAACATTTTTGTAGACTTCACCAGAATGGTAATGCAGAGTACAGAAGACCTTAAGAACTCCTGGGTCACTTCAGGATACTCAGAGTATCCTCTGGTGTCTCCCCCACAGAGAACCAGGCTTCTGGAGAGCTCACTTCTCCCCAGGTGGGGTCCACAAAGAACCCCTGAGAAGATAAGCGGAGAGGTGAGGCCCACTGAGAGGCCTTTGCCCATTGTCCCTTGTTCTCTGTGGTCCTCTTCTCCCCCAATGCTTGCCATATAGATTGAAAAAAAAAATGTCTTCACATGCTTAGACAAAGAGAGAGCCAGAAGAGGATAGCTAAGGGCCTGCCTCTATTCCATACCTGGTATCGGCAGAAGAAAGCCTAAACAGTCAACAAGAACCCCAACCCCAACAGAAAATCTCCTATTAAGGGTTGAACTATCAATAACTTACTTTCGTTCTAGCTGCATCCTTGTTTTAACCATCCAAATAGGATTCATTAAGGTATTTGTGATGAAAGCTGGGGAAAAAAAGTCATCATAGTCAGTTTATTAAAGCTGTCTACACTGAGCCGGGCGAGGTGGCACACGCCTTTAATCCCAGCACTTGGAAGGCAGAGGCAGGCGGATCTCTGTGAGTTCAAAGCCAGCCTGGTCTACCTAGCGAGTTCTAGGACAGCTGGGGCTACAAGGAGACCCTGTCTCAAAAAGACAAAAAAAAAATTGTACACTTGTATTAATTCAATTTCAACCCTAAAAATTTACAGCCAATTTTGAAACAGATGCATCTTAGCTCTGGAAATTGTTATTGAATATGTCAATGCTGTTGTCATGAAATGCTTCTTCTAATTATGTGGTTATTAAATAAATAATAAAAAAATAAAGGTGTCTACACTATACAATGTTCAAGTCAAGATTTAATGACTTAATAAGGCTAGACAGCAGGAAGCAGTGACTTTTCTACGCTGCAGACAGAAGCTACAGTCTCCTACAGTGTAGCCATTGCTGCTCTCTGGACCCAGACATCAGTCATACCCAGCCTTTCCAGCCTCTAGGTGGTGCTGTGGTTCATATTATTCCTAGGGCAAAAACTTAAAAACTCAACTTAGAAGCTTCAGCTCCAGAAATAACCTTTGCTGACTTAATCTAGAAGTTACCCTATCTCTAACTTTGAATAAAGGAATTAAACTTCAATTATCTGAATTTAAACTTGGCAATGTAAGGAAACTGATCTGCATATGGGAATCATTATTTTGGTAAGCCTTCTAGATTTTAACACTAGTCACTCCAGATGAGCCAGACCACCAGTGAGTACATGGTGCTGCCCCACTCTCCTCTAATACCTCATGCCCTCCAGCGTCTCTGAGTGAATAAACAGATTGATTCAGTGGATATGGAGGACACTGGTTTTAAGTTTCCTCAAGGTCTGCTTGCTTTACGAAGAGGTCTTCTGATTAATTTTACAAGCATTACACAGCTGATTAACAGTGTCTAGCTTATAGCTAACACACTATGGGGCCTATTAAGTGCAGAGCGACCTGTTTTTGAATGGTACGCTCTTCTCCTCACAGCTCAGTATTAAGGGGAATGCCATTCTTGTGAGAGACAGCTTTTTTTTTTTTCTTGTCTTTGTTTTGAGACAGGGTCTCCCTGTAGCCCCAGCTGTCCTGGAACTCACTATGTAGACCAGGCTGGCCTTGAACTCACAGAGATCTGCCTGCCTCTGCCTCCTGAGTGCTGGGATTAAAGGCATGTGCCACCACGCCCGATGAGACAGCTTTTTAAAATACTGTTTTCTACTCCAGGTCTAGAAAATCACACTCTGTAAGCATTCAGATGGGTTGTAATTTTACTGAGAGTAACAGGTGCATGACCCTGACGTGGACACATCTGGACTGCCAGCAGAAGGTGGCATTCTGAAAAGCCAACATAAGTTCTCTAGCAGGTAAACGGGAAGCAGTGAGTGGAAGGGCATCTTCAGAAGAGAACAGGCACTTGTCTAGAGGCATAAGTCCTTCAGTTCACCCTTTAGTTCACCCATACCCACCCCACACCCACACCCACACCCACAGAAAAAAACAGCAGGCCTCTGGCCTGCACTAGCTGTGCTGGATAGCATTAGTGTCATTGACACACCTGGGTTGAGGGAGCCTCAATTGGGGAATTGCCTTCATTAGACTGGCCTGTGGCCATGTCCATGGGGCACCTTCTTGACTGTTGAGTGATGTGGGAGGGCGCAGGGCCCAGGGCCCAGCCCACTGTGGGTGGTGCCACCTCTGGGCACGAGGACCTATGTTGTATAAGAAAGCAGGTTGAGCACGAACCAGGGGAGCAGGCCAGTAAGCAGCATTCCTCCATGGCCTGTGCTCCAGCTCTTGCCTGGAGTTCCTACCTTGGGCTCCCCGATGGAACTGTGACAAATAAACTGTAAGACAAATAAACCCTTTTGTCCCCGAGCTGGTACTGGTCAGAGTGTTCTGTCGTAGCGATGGAGAAACAAACGGAACACTGGCCCCCTGCCCCTCAAGCCCTTTCTGTACAATCCAGTTGTTCAGATCAGACATGCCTCAAAAACCTGGGGGAGTCAGAAAGAAAGCAGCTCTGACTTATGGAACTCATGGGGAAAGGGGGAAGACAGGAACAACATGACTTTTCTTTCCAAAAGAAGCACAACCCCGACCAGCAGCAGTAACATGTGCGCACTTTGAAGGAGAGTAAAGTTTTGAGTGGTCAGAGAACATGAAATCTAGTTACAAACTGCTCTCTGAAAGTCATGTTCTAAAAAGTCTAACGTAAAACTTTTAAAGAATGATTTCAGTGCAAAAGAGGCAAGAAGTTAATTTCTAATTTTTGCAAGCAAAAAAAAAAAAAAAAAGAAAAGAAAAGAAAAGAAAGAAAATGCATGCTTTGGGAAGTCAGAGTCTTCCACCTCACTTGCCAGGACAACATACCTGCAGAGCCAGCTGAGAAAATGTGCACAGTATTGCTATTAGGCACGAAAATGCCATTAAATTGCTCTTTGGCTTTGGAGTAACATGCAAAGTACACAGCCCTGTTAGAACAAAGAGAGAATGCTATAAAGAAATCATTATGGCACTTCAAAGTACGTATGTCCCTCTGCAACAACTGCAAATGTAGGCGACTAACACAGGTGCGAATATGGAGAAGCCAGCACAGAACCGGGAGCCGGACCTCACTGCCGAAACCCAAGCCTGCCACAGGCATGCCGGAAGTTCTAGCTCCTCCAGAAGTGTCCAAAATAATCAAGGAAAATGAGATTTGGGGTAATACACGCACAAAGCGCACAAAGCCCTTTCACACTCTTCATTCTGGATAAATGCTAATCCCTTTAAGGGTAGACATGCACTGTGACTTTTTTTTTTTTTTTTTTTGGTCTTTTTGAGACAGGGTCTTCCTGTAGCCCCAGCTGGCCTGGAACTCGCTATGTAGACTAGGCTGGCCTTGAACTCACAGAGATCTGCCTGTCTCTCCCTCCTGAGTGACTTTTGAAAGTATAATATTTGGGGGCTGGAGAGATGGCTCAGTGGTTAAGAGCACTGGTTGCTCTTGCTGAAGACTGGAGTTCAAATCCCAGCACCCACTTGGCAGCTAACAAGCACCTGTAGCTCCAGTTCCAGGGGATCCAACACCCTCTTCTGACCTCTGTTGGCAATGCACAACATGGGTGCACTTACACACATGTAGGCATTAACACTCATACACATAAAAAGATCAAAAAGATTAAAAGTATAATATTTCTAAAATATTATTTCTGAAATATATTTCTAAAACATTGGCTCTGCCTTAGGTAGATCAGCCTTAACTGCTTGCAGATGACTCAGATCACCACGCGGGAGCAGCGTTTCTATCAGCCTGCAAATCGGGGGAGATAATTTTTTTTCTGCTGACCAACAGATCAATCAGAGAAGCTATTTTCCGACTTAGGATCCTGACTACTGTTGAAGAGAATCACAGAAGGCCGGGGCTGAAGAGACGGCTCAGTGGTTAAGGACACTGGCTGTTCCTGCAGAAGACCCGGGTTTAAATCCCAGCACCCACATGGCAGCTAACAACTGTCTGTAACTCCAGTCCCAGGGGATCCGACAGCCTCTTCTGACCTCCGCAGGCACTGCACGACACAGTGCACTTACCTACATGCAGGCAATACCTGCATACACATAAAGTAAAAATAATAAATAAAATTTAAAAAAATTATTAGAGAATCACAGAAGGCCATTGATTTGGACTAAGCTCTGGTACTAGGCCCCAAAAGACCAAACAAAAAAGGGGAGTCATTTGCACTAAACTCTCTAGTTCCTGTTACCAAGCTAAGTTGTTATCTGGCCTTCCAAGAAACAGGACTGAGAGATAGCAGTCAGACTCCCCAAAAGGACCAGTTTCAGTTCTCCTGAGAAGCAGGTCCTCTGCTCTAACACTTATGAAAAAGTAACCTGATGTTAACCAGCTATTCTTCCATTGTTCTGTCTCCTTGTTCTTGTCTTGTAAGTAATTCTAAAATGTACAACCAACCTACTCTTTTTTGTTTGTTGTTTTTTACAGCCCTGATGTTTGAAAAACAAAAGCAGGGGCTGGAGAGATGGCTCAGTGGTAAGAGTACCGGCTGCTCTTGTAGAGAACCCAGATAACACGACCGGCACATTTACCCACATGCAGGCAATACACTCATACACATAAAATAAAAAGAATAAATAAAACGATTAAAAAACAATAGCAAAAAACCAAATCAAACCAACGAACAACCCCCCAACTTCTGCCCAACCTCTCAGAACTCATTTTATTTTCTGGAATGAAGCACTGCCAGACCCAGAATGGAAGGTCAGTTAAAACCTTCATTCTGCACTGCTAGAACTCTGGCCCGTGACATATGCTCTCACCTGTCGGCCATCCTCACAATTACCTTCTCTACCGGCACTGTCCAACAGGACTTCCTGCAACACAGAACTTCCCAGTACAGAACTATGAGCTACATGTGGACATTGAGTTCTTATAATGTGGTAAGACTGAGGGATTAAAAAAAAAAGACCAAAAAAAAAAGGTTAATGGGGCTGGTGCTTAGTGCCGTTCTGTGTATTCAAAGAGCTTATGCAGGCTTTGAAGAGAATTGAAAAACCAAGTTTGTAATTTTACAGAGAGTAAAGCCTAGAAGCTTTGTAGTTTCTTCAGACTAGTGTTCCCAGGTGCCTATGAATCACCTGGATATCTTGTCATAAGGTAGATTCTGATGCAGGTCTGCCCCAAGAATGGGTGTTTCTAACCAACACCTGCTTCTAGGTGATACCCAGGGCTGACCACATACCACACTCCGGGTGAGAAACTCTCAGCGAGATTATGAGTGCTGATAGCAGATTTATTTCCATACTTAAGTAACCAGAACTTTCTCACACACTAAAAAAGAAGCTTGTGGTCATCACTATTTCTCCATGTCAGACACGGTTAGGCAAGAAAGGATTCAGCAGTGCACACTGTTCGAAGTACGCTAGCTCCGCTATCGAATGCTTACCTTGATGGTGCAACTCCAACCAAACCGTGGTCATCACTATTTCTCCATGTCAGACACGGTTAGGCAATTTCAATACAGGAAAAAACAACCAGTCATTTAACAGTGTCATCTTTTGGCAAGAAAGGATTCAGCAGTGCACACTGTTCGAAATACGCTAGCTCCGCTATCGAATGCTTACCTTGATGGTGCAACTCCAACCAAATTTGGACCCAAGCCTCTAAAGAGTGACTTTGGTCCCTCCTTTTCCAAGATTGATCTGAAAAATAAGACATAGCTTTAAAATCCCTTGAGGGGCTGGGGATGTGGCTTAGTTGGTAGAGTGCTTGCCTAGTATGCAAAAGCCCTAGGTTCAATCCTCAGCACTCCATAAACCAGGTGGTGTACACTTGCAATCCCAGCACCTGGGAGATGGGAGCAGGGAGATCATATGTTCAAAGTTGTCCTTGGCTACATGGCGCTTGAGGCCAGCCTGGACTACACGAAACTCAGCATTAGAAAAGAACAAAACCAAAAATGACCACCAACAAAAACTCAGGGGTTGGAAAGATGGCTCAGCGATTAGGAGCACTGGCTGCTTTTCTAGAGGATCTGGCACCTACCTACATGGGGGCCAACAACCGTCCCTTACTCCAGTTCCAAAGGATCTAACGCCCTCTTCTGGCCTCTGTGGACACTGCATGACACAGGTGCACTTACATGGAGGGAAAACATTCAAAAACATAAAAACAAAAATAAAGTGTATTAAAAACAACAACAACAACGAAAACCCAAGTCCTTTGAGCAAGGCCTCCTGGAGTTACGTGAGAAGGAGCCAAGCTTCGCACCAGCTCCTTGAAGGGATGAAATGTTAAAGGGAGCCCAGACTCCCCACTACAATTCAAAATCAGAAGCTGTAGAATAGTATTTTTATTAACACAGTGACAAAGGATGCTCCAAAGGATCACTTTGCCTCATGTGAAGTGTAGGATGTTCAGGGCTCTGCTATACACTGAAATCCTATTGCAGTAACATGGACACTGGGCAAAGGAACAAGGTCTTTAATCCTAACATGATTCACTGAGAAACAGGCTCAGAGTTCCTTGGACAGCATTTCTTTTGGATTTACTTTATAACAAACCTGTCATAAATTTTAAATATTGTACTAAAGCCCTAAAGAGGAGGAACTGAGGAAGAGGAAAACTTAATAAGTTCCAGGGTCATATGAAAGATACTTAAAGCTAAAGTCTAGCTAGGAGCAGTGGTGTGTGTCAGTCGTCCCAGCACACAGGAGCCTGAGGCAGGAGGATTGCTGAGTCCTAGGCCACCCTGGGCTACAGCCTGAGACTCCATTCAAAAAGTAAGTAAATGAATAGTAAGTCTCCCATTTTAACATTTTCTCTGTGTACAGCTCAGTGGCATTAAAGGTATCCACACTGCTGTGCAATGAGCACCCCTCCCCACCTCTAGGACTTCCCGTTCAGTAGCTGAAATTGTCCTCATCAAACAGGAACTCCCCAGTCGGCCCTCTCCCCAGGCTGTGGCAGTCACTATGCTACTTTACAGAACCTGACTACTCTGGGTACCTCCTGTCTATGTAATAATAACAGTTTTTTTTTTAAATGTGTCTGTCTGTTTCTGAGATAAAGTCTCACTATGTAGCCCCGGCTGGCCTGGAACTCCCTATGCAGACCTCTAACTCACAGAGACCCACGTGTCTCTGCCTCCTCAGGGCTGGGATTAAAGGCAGGTACCAGCACGCCTAGCACACTTCTCTAACATTTTCATACATGTTGTAACATATGCCAGAATCCCCTGCTTTTTAAAAGCTGAGTAATATTCCATTGCTATATATACCACATTTTATCTATATACCCACTTACCTTTTGGCTATGAACATGAGTACAAACATGGTGTCTGTCAGGTCCCTGATTTTTTTTTTTTGAGACAGGGTCTCCCTGTAGCCTCTGGCAGTCTCTATGCAGACCAAGCTGGCCTTGATCTCACAGGCCTCTGCCTCCCGAGTGCTGGGATTAAAGGCATGAGCCACGACGCCCAAAAAGTCCATTTTTATATATTTTAGGGGGGGTGGTGGTGTTGAGACACAGTCTCCCAGTAGCCCCAGTTGGCCTGGATGTACTATATAGACCAGGCTGGCCTCCATCTCACAGAGATCTGCCTGTCTCTGTCTCCCGAGAATGTCTGGTTAAGTCCCTGCCTTTAATCTTTTTAGTTATAGAGTAAGGAACAGAACTGCTGGAGTACATGACTGCCCTGTGTCTCCACTTCTGAGGCACTTCCATTGTTTCCATAGGGCACACCACTGGACATTCCTACCAGTACTATTTGGAGATCCTAAGGACGCACATGACTGCCCTGTGTCTCCACTTCTGAGGCACTTCCATTGTTTCCAAGGGCACACCACTGGACATTCCTACCAGTACTATTTGGAGATCCTAAGGACTGGGTGTGGTGTTGCACATCTATAAGCCTAGCACTCAGGAGGCAGACACAGGAGGATCTCTGGAAGTTCAAGGCCAGTCTGTTTTGAAGGAAGGAAGAGAGGGAAGAAGGGTAGGTATATGGATTTAAGGGAAAAAGTAAAACTATCTTTATTCACAGACAGAATAATCCAATTCTATATGGAATTAAGGGGCTGGAGAGATGGCTCAGCAGTTAAGAGCACTGGCTGCTCTTGCAGAAGATTGGGGCTCAAATCCCAGCCCCCACAGGTGACTAACAACCATCTGTAACTCCAGTTCCAGGGGATCCAATTCCCTGGCCACCACGGGCACTGTACAACACAGGTGCACTTACATACATGCAGGCATAATACACACACACACACACACACGCATAAAGTAAAGTTTTTCAAAAAAGTCATGCAAGATTGCAGAATATAAGATCAATATACAAAAATGATTTGTATTTCTGCTTATACAAGAGCAACAACTCATTTGAAAATGGAATTAATAGTGGATATCTGCTTCTTTTTGGGGTGATGAAAATGTTCTGAAATTAAGACAGTTGAGGATCACGTAACTGAATTTGTGAAAACACCACTGAATTGCATACTGTAAAAGGATGGCTTCTGTGGTATGTGAATATGGTCTCCATAAAGGAGAGTAAACCATAAATGTAGTAAGCCAGACCTCTGCCGCATGTACATAATCAAATTACTTCAAAAAATCTTTTCCACACTGAAATACACAAACCAGACACTTCAAAGTGATCCTAAGACACACTTGTTTGTGTGGCCCGGATCACCTTCTCTCAAGCTCGGCCACATCTGGACAACTAGGGATCAGTTCTCACAGCAAGTGCAGTAGCGTTCCATCCTTTCCTATGGCATTTAGAGAAAGTCAAAGCAATGAGGTTAAAGTAAGACTGAACCAGACAATGGAATATGTCTCCAACCACAAAGAGAAGATGTGATATGTGCTACAATGATGATGAACTCACGGGGCTGGAGACGGTCAGCACATCTGCTGCTCCTGCAGAGGATCTGGGTTCCCAGTACCTGTACTGGGTAGCTTACAACCATCTCTAACTTCAGTTCCAGGGAATCTGATGCCCTCTTCTAGCCTCTGCAGGCACCAGGCATAGCACATACATATATGTAGGCACTCACAATTAAAGCTGGGTAAAGTAGTATATACCTTTAATCCCAGCGGTGATAAAGCAAGGTAAGTGGATCTCTGAGATTAAAGTCAGCCCATTCTACAGAGTGAATTCCAGGCCAGCAGGGCTATATAATGAGACCTGCTTCAAATTAATTAATTAATTAAAAAAAACCCAAAATATTAAGCTAGGTAAAAGAATCCAAAACCAAAAAGCCAGAGAGCATATAATTTAATTTACATCAAATATCCAGAAGTGATAAAAATGCAGAGACAGAAAGCAGACTGGTGGCTGGTTGCCCAGGGAAGAGAGTGAGGGATGGGGGTGACTGCAAATAGGTAGAGGGGTTCCTTTTAGCAGAAATGAAAAGATTCTAAAACAAAACTGGTAAGAATTGTACAAAGCTCTAGGACTATCCTAAGAACAGAACAGTTGTACTGCTTTATTTATTTATTTGTTTGTTTGTTTGTTTATTATTTTGGTCTTTTTGAGACAGGGTCTCGTAGCCCCAGATGGCCTGGAATTCACTATGCAGACCAGGCTGGCCTTGAATTTAAGAGATCTGCCTGCCTCTGCTTCCCCAGTGCTGGGATTAAAGGTGTGCACCACTATGCCTGGCTTGTATGAACTGGCGCTATGGACAGTTGTTAGCTGCCACGTGGGTGCTGGGATTCAAACCCGGGGCCTTCTGCAAGAACCAGTGTTCTTAAATGCTGAGCCATCACTCCAGCCCCGCCCCCCACCTGATTTTTAAACAAGGGTCACCCTATGTTGTTCAGGCTGGCTCTCTCCTCCTGCAGAGTCTATGGGTATATGGTACCACACTGGTGAACTGTAGCACTTTTGCATGGGTGGAATGTATATATAGTATGTGAATTTCATCTTAATAAATCTGTTCAAAGAATACTGGGCAAGCAGGAAAGACTCAATGAAAAGAAGATCTAGAGAGGAGGAAAGATGCTGATAGGAAGACAGTGTTAAAACAAAACCCAGTTCCTATCCTATGCTAATTGCTATAATAGGTAAATGATAAGACTGGGAAATATACTGTAGAAAAGTTCAAAAATAGTACACCAGCCAGGACTGGTGTATGGGCCTGTAATCCCAGTTCCTCAGGAGGCTGGGGCAGAAAGACCAGGAGTTCAAGGCCTGCCTAGGCTGCCCAGTGAGTTCAAGGCAGCCTGGGCAATTTAGCAAGACCTTGTCTTAAAAATAAATGTTTAGGGGCTGGAGAGATGGCTCAGCAGTTAAGAGCATTGATTGCTTTTGCAGAGGACCCGGGTTGGATTCCCAGCACCCACATGGTGGCTACGAAAGTCCTTAATTCCAGTTCCAGGGGAATCCGAAGCTCTCTTCTGAACTCCATGGCATTGTATGGCATGGGTGCACTCATATACATCTAGGCAATACACTAATACACATAAAAAAAAACAATAAATAAAATATTAAAAAAAATATTTAAGCCAGGCATGGTGGCGCATGGGAGGCAGAGGCAGGAGGATCTCTGTGTTTGAGGCCAGCCTGGTCTACATAGCGAGTTCCATTAAGAACACTGACTGCTCTTGCAAAGGACCCGGGTTCAATTCCCAGCACCCACATGGTGGCTACCAACTGTCCTTAACACCAGTTCCAGGAGAATCTGAAGCCCTCTTCTGACCT